TGAATAATATAATTAGAATTATTATTTTAAAATCATCAATTATCTAAAACATATTAAATGGAGTATGAATATATTTATTAATTATTCTAGTTTTTTATACAAGTTTTTTGTAAAAAATTGGCTTGAAATTTTTGAAATTTTTGATAAAATTAAAAAATGTCAAAGCCAAGTCAATCTCCTGATTTGAATCCAAAGAGCATCTGTGGGATCAATTAGAAATTCGTATTCGGAAAGGTCCAAATAAATTTAAAAATAATGTTGAACTTTACATGAAGAATGGAATCAAATTCCTAGAAAATATTTACATGAATTTGATAGAAAGTATGTCGAGAAGAATAGAAGCTGTTATATCCAATAATGGGCGGCCAACAAAGTGTTGACTTGTATACAAATAAGTAAAATTTCGGGTGTGGTGTGCGTTTTTTTTTTTTTTTGAGAAGTGATATAAATACTTGCAAATAAAATCTTTTGGAGATCATTTTCCAAAAAATTATTTTTGGTCGAACTTTTTATTTTTTTAACTGTTATTCTCCCAAACATCACAAAAATTTGAATTTTGCATACATATTCTTAAGAACTTTAATCACAATTTGATGAAATTTATTTGTGTTTTATTATGTACGTTTTTACGTGATTAATTGTTTTGTGGTTACCGAAACTTTTGTCCAGGGAGTGTATGTTACGAGACTTTGTTAGCGCTAGTTAGTTAGCCCAAAGTTAGTCAATGAGCTGTCTAAGTTATTTGTTTTGTAATGAAAAAAGAGAGTTTGCGATCGGCCAAATGGAAATAAAACAAGGGTAAACGACCGAAATAAATAAAAAAGGAACTTAGCATTTGAGTTTTGTAAAGAGCCATATTTATTTATTTAAAGTTATACTGTGCCATTGAATGAATCTCACAGATTCGTAGAGTACACAGTAAGCGAGAACCAATGCATGTTCGTAAACTAATTAATATCGACACGCACCGAGTTGGTTATAATTAACTGACAAGCCATAACTGCTAAATAATCGGGCGTTAACTTGAGATTATTCTAAATTCCAATTCTGGTATATATAAAAAACTTAGCCACACAAACAAAAACTCGTTTCATCCATTTATCCTTTTTTAAAGAAAAAAATTCTGGAGAAAATTTTTTCTCTACGAATTAAATGTGTGTACACATGTGTAAAAAAATTGCTAAAATTAGAGTAATAATTTTTGTAAAGAATAGATCACACACACACAACAAACATGTAATAAATTATAAATACATATTAATATATTATACAAATAAATAATAAAAAAGACAATAAAAATATATAAAGACATTATAAATTTAAATTCAATAAATATAAATTAAGATAAAAAAAACATTTTTTTTCATTTTTCAAAATTTTGACACTTTTACTTAATGATTCAATCAAATTATTTGATATTCCCCAATAAGATTTTAAAGTCCATCGCCATAAAGCTTCTTTTGCTTTCAGTTCATGTTCAGATCTTGGTTTAGGATAAAAATCATTCCATTCTGACCATGAATCAGATATTAAATGAATTTCTTGCAATTTTTGATTTTGAAATATTGGTATTATTATATCTTTTAAAACATAAGATGGCGACAACGAAGAAGATGATGTAGATGAAGAAGTTATATGATCTAAATCTATCACCAATGATAATAAGTTTTCATGACATAATAATAATAAGGATCGAAGACCTTTGGACGTAAAAGTTTGTTGATTAATTTTACCAAGAAATAAACATTCTATTGTACTTTTTGGTAACATTTGTAAAGGTGAATTAGTAATTTCTGCAGAACTCGAATTAATTATCTCTGTGGAATTTGAGTTCATCATCATCATCGTCGTCGATAATTCATTTTCAATCATTAATAAATCTTCATCGTAAAGAATTAAATTTTTCAAAAATAAATTTTTTAAATTTTTAGACTCTAGTAATAAATGAATTATTGATTTGT